AGATACTGCGAGTCCCTGGGTTTTTATGCCCTCTCTGGGTTTTGAACTTCCTGGGGCACAGGAAGAGGATCCTGATTGGTTGTCAGACTCCCAGGGGGTGGAGGTCTTAGCTAGCCTTGCTGACTGATGTAATCTTCCCAGGTGCCATGTGGTGAGCTTCTGTTGCTAGATGGGTCCTATTGTGTTGCAGATGATGGTCTATTGACAAAGATGGGAGGGAATTGAGTTTCTGCCTCTGGCCCATTGACAAAGGGTGGCGGGGCAGGAAGGTGGGAGCTGCTTCGTCTTTAAAACATGCTTCTCCATTTCTCATCCAGAGAAATATAATATTCTGCCTTTTTAATATTTCCTAAAATATTTCATTCTTCTAGGAAAGGGATAGGTGCTAACTTCCTACAAACTCTTAATAAACCTTCACATAATTCAGTGGTTCAAGACAACCGACACAGTAGTGAACTCAAATCTTTGATCCAAGAACTGAGACATTTTTCCGTGCATGGATGTCAAACAGCACACTTGCCATCCCATAAATTGTCTCAAGGAAAAGAAAATGTTTCATAGTAGGAAGAAAACAGGGGTGAAGTGCTATAACTTCACTGCTCAGCAGGTGATCCACAGAACCACAGACATTCCACTTTTTTTTGGTCAAATATTATTATTTTTGTGTGATAACCACAAGCGTTAAAAGTGCCATGCAGTAATCGAAGTTATAAATAGAGCCTCTTTGTTGGCTTGAAGTTAAAAAGGAACAACCTACGATACTATTTCCAATGGCTAAAAGCAACAAGCCTAGATAAGATGGGTCAACTTGGAGAAATCCATGTGCAAAATCAAGTTTTAGAGCAGGGGTGTCAAACTCAAGGTCCGCAGGCTGGATCCGGCTCATGGGATGCTTAGATCTGACCCGTGGGGCCACCCTGGAAACAGCGAAGGACCAGCCCGTGTTGCCTCCGCCAGCAAAAATGGAGCTCAGGAGGACTGCAAGTGGCCCTCCCAGGCTCCCTTTTCAGCCTTTTTCGCTAGTGGAGGGCCCCAGGAGATCGTCATGGCCGAAAATGGGGTTCAGGAGCCCATTTTCACTGGCAGAGCACTCAGGCCACCAGAGGTGCCCCCAATATGAGTGACGTCACGCTGGCCACATCCACCCTGGCCACCCCCACCCCCGCCCCCCAAGGTCAAACACAACCATGTTGTGGCCCTCAATGAAATCGAGTTTGACACCTCTGTTTTAGAGTGTACATGGATGAGATTTTGGAATGCAATGCATAGTTGTGGTTTTTAAAATTTTCAGCAACAAAATACTGTGTATTTACAGAGAAAATATATGCAGAAAAGTAGCATGCTTCCTATTATGCAGAAGGCAACAAACTGATGAGGCAAGAGATTTCCAAACAGACTGTAAAATTTGGAAGCACTTTCCATATTGAACATTTAGAGCATCAAGTAAATGCACTAATAAAGGCTGAAAAGAGAGGAGACATAACTTCCAGGAAGCAGGCAGATGTTGAATGGAGGAAAAAAAGAAAGTGAAGTTGAAAACTAACAAAATTATCAGCAGTGCAGTAGAAAACAAAATAAATGCAATTAGCCGCTTGGGATTGTGTGTTTGCTTATTTATTTTGATTCCTCTTCTGATTTCTTTCCTTGAGTGAGTGTTAATAAGCCAAGAAATGGTTAAAGAAGAGCAAAGACGGTCTTTTCAAAGCAAGGCACTAACAAGCTCATTTGTAGGAGTTCTCCCAATTAGCAATGCCAAATCTGTCAAGACTCAGGTAGAGAATAATCTGCAAATGTTTCCTTTAGATATAGCATTAATAAGTGTTAAACACAAGCTATACAGCACTTGGAAGAGGGAAGAAGAGGACAAAACTACTTGTCAGATGTCATGAATTAATTCTTTGCAGAGGAAAAAAATAATGGAGGCTAAGACTATTTGTGACTCATTGCTCTGTGACTCAGAGTAGTAAGAGTAGTTCACTAGTAAACTTAGCGAAAACTACTGTACTAAAAACTAAGTTTTAACTAACAACACTGTTAACCTTTCACAAGGCATTGAAGACCTGGCTTTTCCCCTGGGAATTGGGTCAGGTGGGTACATGAGTTGTGTTACTGTTCCTGTGATTCTGTTTCTTGGTGAATGGGTGCCGTGTGGTTAGACGTGGTTTTCTGAATTTTAATATTTACCAGAATAAACAAACTGATGGCTCATCAAACAAATCAGCCCAGAATTCTCAATTGAGGCTCAAATGACCGGGCTCAAATTATCCTATTTTGGACATGTTATGGGAAGATCTAGTTCTCTGGAAAAAGAAGCTAATGTTGGGAAAGGTGAAAAGAAAGAGAAGAACAAAATGACTAGCAGCAAAGTGGATGGACTACATTACAGTAGCGATGAGTTCACCATTGGGGGACCTGAATGTTCAGGTTAGGGACAGATCAACAAGAGTCATGGTGGTGCAGTCGTTAGAACGCAATATTTCAGGATGACTCTGCCCAATGCCTGGAGTTCGATCCTGACCAGTTCAAGGTTAACTCAATCTTCCATCCTTCCAAGGTTGGTAAAATGAGAACCCAGATTGTTGGGGGCAATATGCTGACTCTGTAAACCGCTTAGAGAGAGCTGTAAAGCACTATGAAGCGGTATATAAGTCTAAGTTCTATTGTTATTGCTATCAAGAAGATAATTTATGTGGTTGCTAGAAGCTGAACATGATTTGATGGCATATAAGCAACATCACCAATCTTTGCAATCAGCACCCAATCCCTTGAGTGAAATGGGCATCTATATAAATCAATCAACCATTCAATCAAATAAATACATTTACCCCAAACCTCATCCTTATTCTTAGCCTTGAATGTTGGACAGAACTGTTTTGGTCATGCACTCTCATCTTTGGGAAGTCAGCTGGCATGATAGCAACCAATCAAATTAGGTCCAGGCTTTGAAGCAAGAATATTGTGCTTCTGAATCAGTGGTGGTATTCAGCCAGTTCAATCAAATTTGGGTGAACCAGTAGCGGCGGCTGCGGGAGGCTACGCCCACCTGCCCAGACATCATCACGTCCCGTTTTTGATGCTCTGTGCATGCGCGGAAGGCCCTGAGCATCCATGGAGGAGGCGCACGCTCACATTTGCGAACTGGTAGTGAACGTAAATGAATACCACCCCATGTTCTGAATATATGCTCCAATACGTCCTTTTCTATTTATCCCGAACAATATTCCTCAAAATAATTAAGAAGAAAGGAAGTACAGCCTTATTTCTCATAAATCTGCATCCCCCGAAGATGATTTACTGAAAATTAAAATTTGCCCTCACTCTTCTAGCAAGTCCATGTGTAGCATGGAAACATCTCACAAAAGGTAGTAGAAAATATTCCTGCCCTCAAAAATAATTCATGCCAAAGTTGTATTCCTCCCATTACAACAATTCTCCTTCACAATCTAATATTTTATGGATTCTTTTCTTTTCTTTTTTTTTAAAAAAATAATTTTTATTGAGTATTTTACATTTTAAAACAAAACACACAATAGCAAAACAACAACAACAACAAAAAAAAACAAAACAAACAAACACACACACACACACACCGGACGTTAAAATACAATACTAACTACAGATATATACAATTTTATAACTTTCTGCATCGACTTTTGTCTTTACTCTTAGCTTTTATCCTCCCGCTTCTTCTCTTCATTTTTAAATATTCATAATTAACTGTTTTGTTAGCAGAGTCATTATTTACATTCATATCCAGTATGTTAATTCTTTTCTATCTTAACCAACTCCAGACATCTTCCTCCTGGGCTTGGATAAAAAAAGCAAGGTTCCAGGAGATCTAAACTCCACAATATAAGTAAGAGGGCAAGTGCAGAGAGAAGGAAACAAGAGTGAAGTCCTTGATGCTTTCAGACCTTGGTTATTCATCAATATCAACCAAAGAGAATACTGGTAGCTCAGGGTTGAACTGTGTAGCCCTTGGTGCTCTCTAACTTTATTTTCTTGCAGATGTTTCATTACCCATTTATTATCCACTGTATATGTTACATATAAAGGTAACCAGAGGTGGGGTCTACTTATCTTTACTACTGATTCACAATGGGAGCGTGCGCACAGAAGCTTCTGCGCATGCGCAGATCATCCATTATGTCGTCCGGGCGGGTGGATGGAGCCTCCCGCCGCTTTTATTACCGGTTCGCAAGAACCGGACAGAACCGGGAGCAACCCACCACTGCAGGTAACATATACAGTGGATAATGAATGAGTAATGGAACTTCTGCAAGAAAACAACTAAGCTAAGAGAGCACCAAGGACTCCAGCATCATCAATGTTCTAATTAGGGTTATAATTAATTAGCAATTTTATGATTGTGTATCTATATTTTTCTTGACTGTACATCGCCTTGAGTCCTACGGGAGAAAGGCGGTATAGAAATATAATAAATAAATAAATAACATTCAAGAGTTCAATCTGCATCAGTACTGTGACGTTCAGGAACCAATGATGTTCAGCAATAGAGGAAAGGAAGTGAAACTATTGTCTTTTGCCTTCTCCAAGAAGTTGTCTAAGCTGTCAGACTTCAAAACAACCTTCTCTATTGTTCTTCCCCACAATCTACTAGCAATGGGAACAAAGAACCAAGGCTCTATTATAGGCTGCTGTTACAGTTCCAGCAAGAATATAGCGCTGGAAGAGAAATACCAAAGAAAGAATGATAACTGCTCACTGTGAATTCATAACCTTTCTTCTATACACACAACAAGATAATCAACGGTGTTCTGACTCAGATGACTTACATACTCACACAGTTCCTTTTCATAATGCTACTGAATAGACGCTCACTCTGTAAAATAATTCCACCATAGAAAATCTGCAAAACCCAAACCCTCTTTTCAAAAGAATTGAAAATTATAAGAGCATCAGATGGCCTTCATAACCACAACCAGTACTCAGCAACAAAGAATGTGATATAAGAGGCAAAAATAGTTATATCTACTCACCCAATACTGATAACTCAGCCGATGCACTACTGTTCTCATCTCGGTATGTGACCACACAGGTATAACTTCCGGAGTCATCATCCGTTGCATTAGAAATCAATAAGTTACTGCCAGCCAACAGGGAATATTTTTTGGCTCTGAAAGATTGACATAATATATCACTGTTTCAAGTAAGACAATAAGCAAGGGTCATTTTCTCTATGGGTTGATTTATTTTAGATTTCTATCACATCTTTTCTTTTGCTCGATGAGTTGAAACACGGCAATTCTGTTCTTCTAGGAGACACCAAGATTTCTAGTTCCTCAGTGAAGTATGGAAAGGATGAAAGAATGGAGAATCCTATGACTATCGTTAAGCGTTATACCTTATGATTCTTGATGAACGTATCTTTTCTTTTATGTACACTGAGAGCGTATGCACTAAGACAAATTCCTTGTGTACCCAATCACACTTGGCCAATAAAAAATTCTATTCTATTCTATTCTATTCTATTCTATTCTATTCTATTCTATTCTATTCTATTCTATTCTATTCTATTCTATTCTATTCTATTCTATTCTAATTTTTGAGATACACACGATACCAGACTCTCCGGACTTTTCGTCGGCCCTGAAAACACATCTTTTTCACCTAGCCAGGCTGGCTTGATCCCATCCCTTTGGTTTTAATTTGTAATTGGTTTTAATTCGGGTTGTTTTAAATGGATAGCCAAAATTATTTAATGTTTTTTAAAATTGCTTTTAAATTTTATATGTTATGTTTTACCATGGCTGTTCACCGCCCTGAGTCCTGTTGGAGAAGGGCGGTATACAAATTAAATAAACAAACAAACAAACAAACAAACAAACAAACAAAAAATAAATAAATAAAATTTATTTAAAACATGAATGTAGCCCCCAATCTTATCACAAACAGGGCAACTCCCAATTTAAAATTAAAATGACAGAAAACCATTTAAAAACTATTAAAACCAAATGCACACACACACACAAAAAAAAGCCTGGCACCAAATTAAGGTTTCAATGTGTAGGCACCTCATCATATCCCAGCACTTGTGGTGGTGGTGGTCGGGGGGGGGGCAGGTCTTTAAATAAGGCTAGGCATGTGGTGGGCTCCAAACTTCAGGATGAAGAATGTTCCATAGGCCTCCCAGCTACCATAAGATGTCAATGTTAAAAGGAATGAATTAAGAGCATTCCCACCTATCTGACTGGCAGTTCAAGTAGATGTCCTGAGAGAAAGGATGTGCCACAGATAACCTGGCCTTGTGCCACAGAGAGCTTTACAGGTGATGCTTTAAAGCAATGTTTTCAAACCTTGGCCATAAATCTATCTCAACTTCTGTCCTACTATCGCAGCACCATTGAGAGTGTCCTGACATACGGCATTCTTGCATGGTATGGGAGCAGCTCTGCAGCGGACAAAAAAGCTCTACAGAGAATCATTAAAATTGCCCAGAATATCATCGGACTCCAGCTACCATCCCTAGATGACATCTTTGAATCTCGCTGTTTGAGAAAGTTGCATAACATTCTCAGAGACTCTTCCCATCCTGCTTACAATCTTTTGGGACTGTTGCCTTCTGGCAGAAGATACAGAACAATTAAAACTCGGACCACACATTTTCTGAATAGTTTTTATCCCAGAGCTATAATTGCACTCAACAATGAACTAAAGGGCCACCATCAGTGAGCTGTTGGACAGTATTACTTGGTCTGTTGTGTGGATGTTTGGGTGGTTTAGGGGTGGAGAATTGTGGTGAGTGGGAGTGTGTTTGGGGATTGTTATGTGTGTTTGACCTGGTCTTTGGGTATTAAGTGAATTTTGTTGTATGGGTATAATGTGTATACACGTACAATGACAATAAATTAATTAATTAATTAATTTATTTATTTATTTATTTATTTATTTATTTATTTATTTATTCCCATGTGTGTGGACTTCAAATCCCAGAATTCCACAGCCAGCATGGCTAGTGAATGAAAATTTCTGGGAGCTGAAGTCCAAATACCTGGAAATCATCAAGGTTGGGAAATATTGCTTTAAATCCTTCTACCTATGGACAGGAGTTTGAGGTTTTGCTTGAATGACAAAACAGAATAACAGAGTTGGAAGGGACTTTGGGGGGGTCTTCTAGTCCAGCCCCCTGCTCAATCCTATTTCAGACAATTTCTTCTTAAAAACTTCCAGTGATGGAGCACCCTCAACTTCTAGAGGCAATCCATTCCATTGATTAATTGTTCTGTCTCCTTAGATCTAGGTTGGTTCTCTCCTTGATTAGTTTCCATCCATAACTTCTTCTCCTGCCTTCAGGTGTTTTGGAAAAATAAATTGACTCCCTCTTCTTTGTGGCTGCCCCTTAGATATTGGAACACTGCTATCATGTCACCCCTAGTCCTTCTTTTCATTAAACTCTAATGGCACCAGGCATTGCAAGCTCTTTCCTTTCCCTATGCCAGGGGTCAACAACCTGCAGCTCTGGAGCCATATGTGGCTCTTTCATCCCTCTGCTGCGGCTCCCTGTCACCAGTCAGTTCCACAATTGCAAGGGCTTTCAGTTAGGATAGATAGAGGAAAAAGGACGCTGTGCTAGGAGGAGACACTATGGTGGAGGGAACCGGATTTCCAGTTGGCTCCAGTATTGAATGGGGAGCTTCCGGTTAGGGCCTTTGTGGCACTTTGAGTGTTTAAGGTTGCCGACCCCTGCCCTATGCAAACACAACATCAGGATCCACATAGAAAAGGGATGGGGCAAATCCACAACACCGTTTTCATCCCACAAACACTACAGCTTTGGTTCTTCCTGTCCCTTCTTCCTGTTGGGGTTATTGCAAAGATTGGAAGGAAAATATTGCAAGTGATGTACAGAAAATAGATATGTTTCTATTTAGGTGTTCTAAAATTTTATGTCAGCTCAGGGAACGTTGGTGAGGATTATGAACCCTTGGGATGTTGTACAGTTCTAATTCTCCCTGTGCCATGTCTCTGATCTCAAATTTTGTTCCCCTTGCAGATTTGGAAGTTCAAATATCAAGAAGGAAGAGGTCATAGATGAGTGTTTAATAACCTGAGCAATTTTGAGATGTGTGTGAATTCCAAGAACTAAAAAAAAAACTTTCAGCCCTTCAACTCAGGTGGAAAATACTCCAAAGATTGAAGGTCATGGCAGAAAAGGCTCTTTTGATAGACTCTTACAGGTAGTCCTCAAGTTACAACTGTAATGGACCCTGCCCATTATTGTTGTGACAAGAGTCATTAGTCGGGAATGGTAATATGACTGACTGGATTTTATGATCATTTTTGTGGAAGTTAAGTGAATGTGAACCCAGAAAGCTGGCTGGGGAATTCTGGGAGTTGAAGTCCTCCAGGCTTACAGTTGCCAAGGTTGGAGACTCTTGCCTTAAAGCAAATTAATTGTTTGCTACCAGAAATGAGTGCCAGTTTTGGGGGGAAATAGTCTAGTGGTTAAGGCACTAAGCTAGAAAGCAGGAGACTATGAGTTCAAGTCCTGCTTTAGCCATGAAAGCCAACTGGGTGACTTTGGACCAGTCACATCCTCTCATCCCAATTCACCTCACAGGGTTGTTGTTGGGTGGAAAATAGGAGGAGGAAGAAGGGTGGGATATGTTTGCCATCTTGAGTTACTTGCAGAACGAATAAAGGCTGGATATGAATAAAATAAGAAATGTCATAAAATGTGGTCATGTGACTGTGAAATAATGCAAATGGCCATAAATGATGACCATGTTGTGGGTGCTGGAAGTGGGTCATATCTCTCCTTTTTCAGTTAGATGGTACCTTTGAACCAGGGGTGAAATGATCCGGTAGTGATGGAGGCGGATGGTTCGGAGAACCGGTAGCAAAAATCCCTGCCCGCCCCCCATTCCCAGCTGAGCCACACAATCATCAGAGGCTTTTTTTTTTTACTTTTAAAAGCATTTTTTCTACAACCTCTTTGGCCGAAAAAATGCTTTTAAAACTAAAAAAAAAAAGCCTCTGATGATCACACGGCTCAGCTGGGATCGTCAAAGGCTTTTAAAAGAAAAATAGGTTTTTTTTTTCTTTTAAATGCCTCTGACGATCCAAGCCGAGTTTTTTAAAAAGCCTCTGCCGATCAGGCAACTCAGCTTGGATCGTCAGAGCCTTTTGAAAGCATTTTTTTACAATCTCTTCGCCGAAGAGGTTGTAGAAAAAATGCTTTTAAAAGTAAAAAAAAAAAATTGGCCACACCCACCCAGTCACATTACCCCTCCACCCACCAAGCCACACCCACAGAACCGGTAGTAACAAATTTTAGATTTCACCACTGCTTTGAACGGTCACTAAACAAATGGCTATAAATCTAGGACTACCGGTATTTATTTATTTATCAATCAAACTTCTACCAGCCAGCCCTTCCATGGGTTTTAAACCCCGCTACATACCTGAACGAGATTGGTTCATCTCCTCGCAGCCACGTAAATGCTGGGGCTGGATAGCCTGAAACACAGCACTCCAAAATGGCATCTTTCCCTTCTACAACCACCACATTGGATGGTCTCTGAAGAAAAAATTGTTGCCTGTGCAACCCAGGATCTACAAAAAGAAAAGAAAAGAAAAGAAAAGAAAAGAAAAGAAAAGAAAAGAAAGAGAAAGCGAAAGAAAGAAAGAAAGAAAGAAAGAAAGAAAGAAAGAAAGAAAAAGGAAGAAAGAAAGAAAGAAAGAAAGAAAGAAAGAAAGAAAGAAAGAAAGAAAGAAAGAAAGAAAGAAAATAAATGGTTATTCTATAACAACCACACTATTTCTCTTAGTAACAGTGGGGAACAGTGTTTAAATAATCACAGTGGGAATCTATTGTGTCATCTCAGGAGAGGAAACATATAAGACAAAAATGGCAGATAATGTTATTCAGGCTAGAACAACAGAAATGCCTGTACCAAATAAGGATAGAAATCTTTGTGGCTGTATCAAGTACATTTCTTTGGTTAAGCACAGGGGTGGGAGAAGTATTTATAGTTTGAGAGTTAACAATATCCTTCTTCAATTTGTGAAGATCTGGTATATTACCTAATAGAGGGAGAAAATAAAATATTTCAAATAGCGATTCTAGATAACAAGGCAGCCCAGCTTTCATTGTAAGGTTTCTCATGATTATTCCAGTACCGGAGGGAAAAAATAATGAGTGATATATTTTTGATGAAATGCATCCTTTAAATAAAATCGTTCCGAGATACATTAATAGGCCTCAATTGTGAAATAGGTCTCTTTTTCCTCTGCAAATAACTCGCTTTTTTTCCCTGTGAATCTCAATCACAGAATAATAGTTATAATTTCGTGGAGATCAATGAGTTCAAAACTTTGCTCGGTGCTATCTTTGCTCCATTTCAACCCAGTCAATGAAGAGGATCCTACAACCTCTCTGGGTAATTGGTTCCATTATGAAGCTGATATTATCATTGGGGCATCCGAACATTCAGTTGGAATCTGCTTATATATAACTTAATCATTTTTTTCCCCTGCCCTGGAAGAAAAAGGGTCTTGAACATCCCCAAATGACAGTTCCTCTGATATTTGAACAATTATGTTCAAATGGGTTTTTTTTTCCCCTCACAAATCTAAACAATCCCAGTTCCTTACAGGTAGTCCTCAACTTCCAACCATTTGTTTAGTGACCTTTCAAAATTACAATGGCACTGGGAAAAAAAGTGACTTATGACTGTGTTTCACTCCCAGGGTCACACAATCAAAATTTGGACACTCGGCAACAGATGTGTATGTCAGGGTTCTAAGTAACACCCCCAATGCAGGGGTGAAATGTAAAATTTGTTACTACCGGTTCTGTGGGCATGGCTTGGTGGTGGTGGTGGTGGGGTAATGTGACTGGGTGGGCGTGGCCAACTTTTTTTTTTTTTTAACTTTTCAAAGCATTTTTTCTAATGCTTTGAAAAGCCTCCCTGCCAATCAGGCAACTCAGCTGGGATCGTCAGAGAGGCTCTTTAAAAAATGCCTCTCTGCCGATCAGGGAAGTCAGCTGGGATCGTCAGAGGCTTTTCAAAGCATTTTTTTTACCAACTCTTCGGCCAAGAGGTTGCAGAAAAAAATGCTTTGAAAAGCCTCTGAATGATTTTTTTTTTTACTTTTAAAAGCATTTTTTCATCGGAAGAGGTTGTAGAAAAAATGCTTTTAAAAGTAAAAAAAAAAAGCCTCTGATGATCGTGCGGCTCAGCTGGGTATGGGGGGGGGCACACAGAGATTTTTGCTACCGGTTCTCCGAACCACCCGCCGCCATCACTACCGGATTGGGCGATCCGGTCCAAACAGGGAGCATTTCACCCCTGCCCCAATGAAATAAAATTCTGAGGCTTGAAGTCCCTCAAAGCTACATTTTATTAGAGATGTCATAGTGGCACATCTGGGAAAACCCGAATCTGAAAGTTTCCAGGTTTTCCCCACCCAAATAAAAATTCAAGTCCCTGCCCAACTCCCACAAGTCCATCACATGGTCCAATCAAACATCATCTCAACTGGAGATGCCTCCCAAGTCCATCCTTCTAGGTGCAGGGTAATCTGTCCTTGACTTTCTGAGGAAGGAATGTTATTATGACTCCCAGTTTCCCACAGTAGTAAATGTGGCAGGTCTGAAGGCCTAGTGCAAAAGATGGCTTCCAGGCCTGACAATGTATTTATGACAGTTGCAGTGTCCCAGGGTCATGTGATCATCTTTTACAATCTTCTGACAAGCAAAATCAATGGGGAAAACTAGATTCATCTAAGAAATGTGTTACTAACTTAACAACTGCAGTGATTCACTTAATTGTGACAAGAAATTTTGGGATCGATTGTGATCGTACGTCAGGGGACTACCTGTATTGGGGTCAATTTCTAATTTTCTGATCATCTTCACTGCCTTCTCTAAATCTATATATAAAATATATTATCTTATATTTTAGGGTTAATATTAATATTATTAAATAAATATTGTCAGCTGGATATTCAGACTGGATTTGGCATTTTTATCCACCTCAGAAATTTTTACCAAGGACTTGTAATAGGCAGAAATTGAGGTATTTTCACAGGATGTAAGCTGTCCTTTTGCAATTGACTGATGGTGAATTTGTCAATGCTGATGGCATTCAAGTGGTGCTCCAGTTGTTTTGGTTGTGCACCCAAGGTGTCTATGACTATTGGTACTACCTTTGTTTTCTTTTGCCATAGTTGTTCTATTTCTGTTTGTAGGTCTTCATATTTTATTATCTTCTCCAGTTTTTTCTCTTCTCTTCTGCGCTCTCTCTTGATACTGCCACATCCACAATCCGCACTTTTTTGTCTTTCTTATCAATAGTTGTTAAGTCTGGGGTGTTATATGGCAGGTGCCTGTCTGTTTGAAGTATAAAGTCCCAGAGCACTTTCACTTCTTCATTTTTATTATTTTCTCTGTTTTATGGTCCCGCTATTCTTGCTTGCAGGTAAATGTTATTTCTTGCAGATCTTCCAATGCACCATGGCATTGTTGCTACTTTGTCATGCCGCTGTTTTAGCTAATCCATGTGATCTTGCTGCAGTTAACCAGATGGTTATTTCTTCAGCTTCTTTGCAGAGGTGGCACTTGCTATCTTTTGCTGTCTTCTCAGTTCTGTCTTGATTGTGTTTGTTCTTATGGCTTATTCTTGTGCAGCTTCTATAACCAATGGAAGTCCCATCCCATTCAAGGTGTTTACAGGTTGAAAGGATTAGCTACCCGCGATCTTCGCTACCTGTTCACCTGAACTGGTAGAAACTGGCTGAATACCACAACATTAAGCTATGTTATCTTGGCAAATGAATACTTTCACTTTCAGGATGCAATTCAGCTCTAAGCTCACATCTTCCTTTTCCTGGTACAAACATTGCAAACATAGGAGATGAGTTTTCATTGCCATCTTAACATTTCAAAATTCTGCAGAAACATTATTGACATCTGTTTCCTTCATTGTTAATACTGTTCTTGTTCCTAGATCCACTAAACCCTAGAAGAGTATTTTCTTCTTCTTCTTTTAGCATTCGGAAGTAAGCAATAATCATTTTCTATGCAATTATCATGGCCATTTCTCAATAAAATAACAGTTCTCCCTCCTAGAAGTATAATTGATTTTCCCCAGCACAATTACCACAAAATGTCTAGTAATTATCATTACAACTTTTTCCACTTCTTACATTTGGAATTGCCTAAATGAAATGCAGTTACAATTGAAGAAACTGGGATGGAGGAAAAGATAGAGAACAGTAAATGATCAACTCAAAATTATTTTAATTGAATTAAGGGTTAAGTTTTATATAAGTTTAATAACACGAACTTGATTGCTTCAGTTTACAATCTGAATAGGAATAATTAGAAAGCCATAATTTTCTACTGTGTTGTGTTGTAGGAACTGAAGATTTCATAGAATTACATTTAACAGGGGAGGTTGTATTTGTTAACGCTTACAGGAAAAACAGAGTTGGAAAGGATCTTGGAGGTCTTCTAATCTAACCCCCTGATCAAGCAAAAGTTCCTATATCAGTGATGGCTAACCTTTTTGCCATCACGTGCCAAAAGTGGGGGTCATACATGTGTGACCCCCCTGCATGATCCCCGCTTTTGGCACACAATGACCTGGTGGGTCTGTTTTTCGCTCTCCCCAGGCTCCAGAGGCTTCCTTGGAGCTTGGGGAGGGCGAAAACTGCCTTCCCCACCCACCCAGAGGCCAACCGGAGGCCGAAAACAGCTTGTTTCCCGACTCCCGGTGGGACTGAAAGGCCTGAAAATCAGCTGGCCAGCGCACGCATGCACGCTGGAGCTGAGCTAGGGCAATGCTTGCGTGCCCACAGATATGGCTCTGCATGCCACCTGTGGCACACGTGCCATAAATTCACCATCACAGTCCTATATCATTCCAGACAAATGGTCGTGCAATCTCTTCTTAGTCTGGTTGGCTTGACCAAGCTACACTGGACTGTGAAAATTAAATTAGCTTGTTAAAACAACATAAAACCTTCTAAACATAAAACACACGTGTGTGTGTGTGTGTGTGTGTGTGTGTGTGTGTGTGTGTATGTGTAATGAACTGAGTAAAACTGAAAAACTGCAGAGAAAAATCGACTACCAGGTTTAGGATATTTTTTTCAAAAATGCAAATGCAGGATATGTATTTCGATGCCGAAAGAAATAAGAGGAATTAGTATAAAGATTTAACACTGGCATTTGGAAAAAAAGATCTTCGGAACCTTTGCTCTTGGTTCTATAAGCAAATCCCTCACCCAATATTACAATATATAAAAGGCGCAGAGTACAAGTAAAACAAGCAGGAACTGAGTAAATCCAGTGACATTTTTAAAAGGCATCGTATAATCAGAACTAAAGCAGCAGCCCTTGCTTACTTACGTTCCTTTGGCTGGCAAATAGCATTTATTTCCAAAATCAAACCAATCTGTCTCATGCACAGACACACACAGACACACACCCACACCTATAAATACCCTCCTTAAAACGGCTTGTTGTTTTGTTGTTTATTTAACCTCTGCCATCACCTTCCGCTCCCAATCTTTTTATCTAGTCAACTTTTCCCTCTCCATCCCTT